TATATCGCAGATAGGTATAACTAGTAGTAAAGGCTGGAACATTCAGTTCAATAGCTGATCTAGATCTTGGAGATGTTTAAGGAAAATCGAGTTGAGCATTTATTTGGGATATTGTTGAGGATCACAACTGGATGAGTTTTCTGCTCTGTTAACCTGGGAGAGTATAGGAATAAGTACCAGGCCTGCAGTTACCATCCTGAGGTCATGCTATGTCTTGGGTTGAAGGGAAATATTGGATCAATGGCAGACTTTGGCACTGGGAGTTTCCGAATGGCTTTGTTTGGGGTATTAGTGGATAAAGCCATACAGCTCTACATTTACACTTGGACAAAAGCTAGATGGTTTGGCAAATAGAAATCAATAATCAGATTTTTTTCACACATTCTGGTGCTTCTTCACACATGCTGCTAGCACTCTGTGGATCTGGATGAAAATATCATTTTTTGACAAAACCATTTCTGTCCTGGATATATGTCCCAGCAGTGGATCCCCAAAGGGCTTTCAGTCTAGATCATCTTTGAGTGTAGGCAGGTTTCCCAAGGCAAAGTACAGACTGGAAAGCAGACTTGCTTTAAGACCCTGATAATGCAAGAACTGAAATCAGAGCTGATCTAAGCAGGGCTGTCCTGATTCCTGGTCCATGAATTTCCCTCCATGCCATGTTTCTTCTTTTTCTTAAAGCACAGTTATATCTTTGTGTTTGGCATGTCATGGATCTAGGCTATGGGTCTATGCCATGGGTCACAGTCTATATTTGTGGTTGGCCTGTGCCATGGGTCTAGGGTCGTTGGCCAAGAGGACTCATGTTAGCCACCTGAAGCATCTCTAGAATCCTAATGGCTGGTATAAAACTCAAGTGTGCATAGTCATGCACCCCATATAGACCACACTCAACCAACGGGCATATTGAGATAACCTAAAAGTTCATGATTTACATTTCAGTAATTCAGGGTGTTTCCCAAAGATTGGATCTCCTATGCTTGAATACAGTTTTTGGCTGGAAATTTTCTTTTTAGCTAAAACTTTGCCTCAGGAATAATGGTCAACATTATGAAAAGTATCTGTTTGGAATAAAAATGATACTTACCTTCTTCCTTGGGATGTGGGAGAAGGTGTGTGAGGTTGTACTGTGAAGTCATTAGGCTCTTAGAAGGCACCTGCCCAAGAGAGCTCAGTATTATCGACATTCCTTTCCTTCCTCAAGGCCTGGGTGAACCATATCCTTTTGTCCTGGGCAGGGCCCAGGTAGATGGGCTATCACTCAGGCCTATATGCCATACTTGATTTCTGTGTTGATTTACATGTGTTTACTACTGTGATTTTGGACCCAAACCCAGAATAGTCACCTCATCCTCACTGAATGTGCCAATCCTTGTACGCGCTAATTTACACACATTTTCTCAGTGTTCTGTGTGTATGTGAAGCTCTATGTTCAAGAAAGAAATAATAGAATATTTAGTGATCTCAAATATTTTTTTCTAAATTTCTAATAAATATTTATTTTGTCTTGTTATGACCTTGTTTTATCCTCATCTTGGTTGTCTAGACGTGAAGACTGAGCAGAAATTCTTCACAGGAGTCAATAAAGAAAGGCCACTTTTTACACCTGAAGCATTATTCTTGGTCAGAGCACATCCTGCATGCAGAACACATGTTGGCTTCCTGCAGTGCAAGTGTGTACCCCAGCAACTCTGGAGGCAGCCAGGGGTTTAAGTGAAATTCCCATGCAGGTCTCCTCAGAGAATGCTAGAAGCTCACGTGAGCTCCAGGAAGTGGCCTGTTGTCACCCCCTTTGGCTCTCAACTTTGCACGTGAGGCACAGGCTATAAAGTTCCAGCTCCATCTGGAATTTATAAGTCCCCATTTTCTATATCACAGAACTTCTGTGAACAGGCAGTGAGAATGTCTATGCATCCGTTTTAGTCATTTCAAAAGGATGACGTTCCCAACTTGAGTGTCTTGCCGTCTTGATGAGTTGAAGAACTTGCAAATCATTAATTAGTAAGTGATTAATTATTTACTTACTTCAAAAGATTACCATAATAACTTGCTTTACTGGAATGTGCCTTCTTGATTCATAGTGCCCCTATAGGATAGAGAACCTACTATTTGGGTTTCCAAGCCTCTAAATCTTTATGGGAACAGATAACTTCATCTTTTTTAAAAATCATTTCTTTTGGGGGGCTTGTACAACTCATCACAATCCATACATACATACATCGTGTCAAGCACATTTTTACATTTGTTGCCATCGTCATTCTCAAAACATAACCTTTCTACTTGAGCCTTTAGTATCAGTTTCTCATTTCCCCCCTCCCTCCCCGCCCTCCTCCCTCACGAACCCTTGATAATTTATAAATTATTATTTTGTCATGTCTTACACTGTCCGATATCTCCCTTCACTCCCTTTTCTGTTGTCCAACTTCATCTTTCTTTTGTGGAACGACAGGTGAGTTCAAACTGCTGACTTTGTGGTTAGCAGTTCAATGTGTAACCAACCTACCCCACAATGACTGCAGTGGGCTTTATGTCCTACTGTACAATGGAAACAGAAACCATCAGATGGAAACACCTTCAACTTTTGACCACTAAACCTATAAATTAATCTGCATCTAAGTTTCCTGAACATTGTCAAGATCCAGGCATAGTGGGAAATAAAAACTTGATTAAATTCAATGTACAAAAGTTTACACTTAAATTATATATTTATTTTGAAATACAGAAGGAAGAGAATCAATTCAAATGAAAAATATATATATTTTTGTAAAATAAAGTGTTGAAAATATTAGACATAGTTTAATTGTGCTGTATAGAACATCGTACCTGGAGTGAGATTGATTTAATGAAATTTTCTTTGAATGATAATATTAATTTGGCTTTGATAATTGAATTTTGGAACAATAAATAAGGGCTACTTGGCGTCCAAGTAATGGGATAAAAATGACCTGTACTTGACTGTACAGGGCGGGAGGAGATCTATGGGACAGAGAGGAGGAAGAGAGCATTCAGCTGGAAGACCTTTAAAGAGAAGATTCATGGGAGGTGACGAACTTGGACATTTAGGGCATGGGTGTATTTATTGAGAGAATGAATTTATAAACCAGAGACATGAGTTTGAATCACCTCTCCAATAGCATGCATGGAATTTCAAAAATCAAACTCACTGCCATCGAGTTGATTCTGACTCATACTCTGTTATTTCTCTCTTTGCGACCTATGTTGGTGGCTGCTGGAGCCATATCTTTTGCTCCTCACACCTTGGCTGGGAAGAAGAGGGACTAGATTCTTACAAAATGTAAAGTGACAGCTGTGAGGAATGTGGATTTTCAAATGTGCCATGCTGTAAGGTAATGCTAGCTTCTCTTGAGGTTGTGTGTGTGTAGCAGGTGGGTGGACAGGGGAATTCTAATGCTAAACTTTTGGAAGAGGCTTTCATGGTCTTTCACAATGAGCATGCCAGGGTAGGGATGTTGGTGTGGCTGTCTTTTTCTGAGGATAAAGGACTATTCATAGTTTCTTTAAAAAAATTTTTAAATTTATTTTTAAAAATCATTTTATTAGGGGCTCATACAACTCTTAACTCATAATAGCACCTTTATAATCAGTCCCCATTTCACTTTCACATTTCATTTGCAAAAGAGCACTTAAAATTTTTCCTAAGATCACAACCATTGTTAAAGTTAGACAAAATAATTAATATATTATCATTAATTTAGATATAAAATTACAAGTATTAAAAGCCATCAGTTGCTAATAGCATTTGTCCCTTATTTGAAAACATGCATTTAAACCTCTACTTGTGAATAAGTTTTTGAATGCATTTCAATTGTATATTTGGAATTTAAAGGCTATTTGTTAAAAATTTAACTTTTTAAGTAAAATATGTAAAATAGGAAATATGCTTCACTGATGAGTGGCATATGTAAAATATGATAGCTTTAAAATATATTCGTTCATTCTAGAAAGATTGCATGAATGTCAACTGTGTGCAAGGCACTCAGGTAAGTGGTATGAAGTTGACCAAGGCACGATCTTGCCCTCAAGGGACTTACAGACTAGTAGAGTCGTCCAAATACCGTGTAAGAAGTAAGCTCAAAGTGATTTCTAATGCAGAGAGGAGCAAATACTTCCGGCATTGAGTGTTATCTTCGTTGTCTTCGCAAAGGCTTCTTTCTTCTCATAATACGCAGCCTCGTTCACAAACACAGGGTACACGGTACAGCCTTCATCCAGTGGAATAGTCTTTCCATCAAAAGTTAGAAACACAGGCGCCCCAGGTGTCAGGGGTTTCCAGTCTTGATCCTCTCAGGAAACAATGAACATAAATAAATTACATGGATTTTTCTCTGACTTTAAACTTTTCATGTTAGACCCCAGACAACTAACAAAGCCTTCCATTTTTTAAAAAAGAGATGCTTGAGAAGTGTGCTGACAGGCATATGAGGGATATGGCAATTGAAGTTGTGTAATTAATCTTGGCAGAATTTTAAAGCATTCCCTTTTGACTTTTATAATTGACACATATAATTCAAGTTTGCTTTAATGCCAGGTTTGCGTTCAGCATTGCCAAAGAGATTCATAATATTAAAAGGCAAAACTTAACTCATGTTCAATTAAATTCTACCTTTGCTCAGCAAGATTTAGTAAATACCGATGAAGACCCTTCTGCAGGCAGATATTCTATTACTGGGGATATTAAAATGAGTACTAGCTCATCCCCAAAAATCTCTGTGGAGTTGCTCCAGAGCCTATATTTGAGGTCTATTCTCTCCAATTGGTATGCTTTCTCCTAAATTCAACAACTTTCACACGGTTTTAGGCCAAAGTGAGATGTATTGAGAGGCACAGGACTAAAATAAATTCCTCAAGGAACACAAAACTCACAAAGTCCCAAGGGCTGTAGTCTTCTATGATATTGCCACATTGGTCTCCGCTTCTCGTACTTGTTAATTTTGCCTCCCCCCTATGTTTTTGTTCCCTCCTTTCTCTCCCTCAATTTCCATCTTCCCTGTCTTTAAAGTATTGACTAAGGCTTCGTCTCAAAGATTCCACCTGGATCCCACTAAGTCACCAAGCAGGGCTTGCTCTGCCGGTCTGTCTCGTTGAGCAGGGCGTTACGTTCCTAGGTCTAGTCCACGTATATACAACATACGGATTTTATCTTCTTGCGGATTGTGCCATCTCTTCTCACATGTCCTCCCACATTGTGCGTGGAGTGTATTTTCTACCAGAAATTGGGTTGACCACAATGCTATGGTCTGATAGGCAAAGCTAGAGAGGCTTCCACAACTTCTGTCAAGGGCTCTAGAGAGCTTGCATTCAAGTGGCTAAGACAAGCGGTTTTCCAGAAAGTGATGCACAGCCCTATTGCTTCTGCCTCCCTCTTTGGCTATAGAAAGGGGATACAACAAATACAGCAAGGCTTCAGGTCACAGGGTGGTGGGACTCTGAGCAATGACAGTGGCAAGGACTTCTAGGGAAGCAGAACCCTGTGACCTCAACCTTCATGAAGCTTGGCTAATTTAAAGAGCACGGATTCTAGGTTGGAGAGAACAGACTCTGAAGGTGGCCCCTGGGGCATCTCCCCAAGGACATGTTAGGACAAGCCAGGACGGAGGTATTATCACCCCCAGTTACTCACAGCTTGCTTGGTCATGGTTTGTAATAGTACATACTGACGACACCTTTATTCTAATGGCTGATGATGCGGATCTGGGACACATGGCCAAGTGTCTATATCACACAACAAAAATAAATGAGATCGTAGCATTGGGTTGTGTGACGTGTATTTTGTTTGTTTGTTTTTAATCTTGTCTTCTCGCTCTCTGATTTTTTCTACATATTTAAATCCCCTACACTCGCCCAAGAGACAGGGCGACTCTGACTTCAACAGGATGATAAGAAGTGGGATGGTCAAACCAGGCAAGTAGATACTCAAGTTCTGAGGAGAGGCAGAGAATGGTGGCAGAAGACCTTCTAAAGAAAGAGTTTCTGAGCTTTCTTTTGCTCTAATTTCTCTGTGGTGATCAGAAGGTTGTGTAGCTTTTAGAAGTCATAGAATTGGATCGACTCATAGCGACTGTATCACAACAGAATGGTGAATAACAGAATGGAATTGCCTTCACACAGAATGGACGTAACAATAACGAGGCCAACTGGGGAGAACAGTAGAGTTGGGTCTGCCATTGACAGGCTGTAGGAAGGATCTACCTTGTGGAATTCAGGTTCCCTACTATAAAATAGATATATCAATCCCTATCTATTATACTTGAGTAGGGATTTCAACTTCTCTGAGGGGGGCTTGTTTGACCACTCCCTCTCCTACTTCATTATTCTACTAAAGAACTGGTTGTTTATCTTCCTTTGTGGGCCAGAGGATGCATAAGTTATACATTTCACGAAAGCATGGAGGACATTCATTAATGGAGCCCCAGAGCTCAGTGCAGGATATACTCAGTAAATACTATTGAATGAAGGTCTGAAGGTCTGAATCCTTTCACTCACCCTGAAAACACAGCAATGTTTTTAAGAATATCAAATGGGCTAATGTATGTACAGTGCTTTATGAATTACAGAGTTCCATTTATTTTTGCATCCTTATTTTCAATATTCCAAAGAATTGGTAAATGTTACCTGCAGATGAGGATGAATACAAGCAGCAATGTCTCCACTTTCATTCCTTGGATAATCAACTTTTTCCATTATTTTATAGACCTCAATAGCACAGGGAGGAAACGCTTTTCCTATGACCAAAAATAAAATTAAAAAGAAGTATAGATAAGGGTTCTGAAAAGGAAGTGCATACTTTAAGAAGGAAGACATGCCTCAACTCCCCCAAAGAAAGCTGGTGGGTAGTTTTGGGGAGAGCAGGACACATTTAGTTAAGAATGTTCATAGACATCACGAAGCCAGAAGATGTTGAATTGTTCTGATCAGCAGTCTCAGCAAATAGGCTGAGGGACAGAAGTAGAAATCAGAATGCAAATGGGGACTAGGCATCAGGACAATTGGACTCTAACCTCCTATCTGCATAATTTTTTGAGGCTCATTTTGTTTATCTGTCAAAGGAAAGCTTTAAATTACCTTATTTATGAAGGATCAGCCAATGTGATTGCATATTTTCGGGGGGAATATCCAGCAAGTTAGGTTACATCCGCATCAAACACTAGGACAATTCCTGAGCAGTGCGATCTTGGGATGCAGGTACACTGTCAACAGCGGAGCCCAACTGTCAACAGATGCCGCAACGCAAAACCACTTGGACACTTGGAAAGGGGTGGTTTACATCTATACCAGGTAACTGCTGAGCAAATGGGTTGACCATTTATCCAATACAGGGCTTATAATGTGTTGCGGTTCCAACCCCTTGCCCTTCAAGCAGAAAGTTCAATCAGAGTTGGAATGAGGATACTGCTTGACACCTTCTGTATCAATTAGCTTTTGCTGTAAAACATACTGCTTTCGGATTTAGAAGTTTAAAACAACAATTTTTAAATTTAACTCAAGATCATGCAGGTTGGGTTGACAGTTCCTTTGGTCTGGGCTGGCTTGGCTAATTACTGCTTGGTTTGCTTATGCACTTATGGTGAATTGGCAGGTCTGGAGGTTGAATAATCTGAGGGCTTTAGTTTCATGATTGAAGCACATTATCTAGTCTGGGTAGAGTAGAGAAACAAATCCATGGACACACATATGTGTATAAGAAAGAGATTTATAAACAAGAGCAATTGAACATTGAGAAAACATCTCAGTCCAGTCCAGATCAAGTCCATAAGTCTGATATTAGCTCATATGTCCGATACCAATCTATAAAGTCCTCTTCAAACTCACGAAACACATGTAATGACGCTGAATGTAGAAGATCACAGGCCAGTGGGTAGAAAGTCTTTGCATCCAGATCACAGGCCAGTGGGTAGAAAGTCTTTGGAAACATCTCAGCACTGGCAGGGGACTCTGCATGGCTTCTCCAGCACCCAGCGCTGCATCAGGGTGGGTCCATGTGTTGTGTCAGCTGCTATGTCTCCCAGGGTGTGAGCAGAGTCTCCACCTCCAAGGAGGAAATACCAGCATTCCCAGAATCCTTAGGGGAAGGCAATGTCCACACAGAAGCCTTATTGGTTAGGACCTGATTGACAGGCTAGACTCCACCCTTACATGCTTAATCCTTAAATTGACAATTATGTAACTATCACAATCTCTTAATGTGAATTGACATTTGGCAGTCAGTCAGCTGGTGCTACATGCTATTGGCCAGGATGCCTGACTTCTGTGTTTTACAGCTTCTCATTATCCAGTAGGTTGACCTGGACTTATTCACATGGTGGTGGTACAAGGTTCTCAAGAACAATGCCCAATGTGTTAGTGCTTTTCAAACCTGTTCCTGTGGCATGAAGCAAGCCACATGGCTAACTCAGATTCGGGGGTGAGGAATACTCCATTTGTTGATAGGTATGAATCATCACGTTGCAAAGGGTGTGGATGTAAGCAAGATAATTTGGGGTCATTTTTTCAAACCACCCTACCTTTATCTTTAAACCAGAAGGTGTGCGGCGAGGAAAGGAAAAAGTGGCAGAACACAAAGGAGTAGGTTTTCTGCTTTAGAATCTCAGAGTTGGAAGGCAGCATCGATAGCCTAACTCTCATCTCATGCTCTGCATTGTTCTGGCCCAGTGCTCCTCCTGGTTGAACAACCTCATGAGGTTCTCCAGAATTTATTTAAGGCAAAAAAGACCATCAGCTCCCTTATTTTGCGATTTCTTTTGGAACACAAGAGCAAAAGTCGGTCTCTGATGCATTTAACTTTAAACTGAATTAAAATTCATACGTCAGGAGGGACACCTATCAAGCAGAGCTGAGCCTCAGAAGAGGACTGAGAGTGGTGAAGGGATTGAAAAATCCCAAGAAGAATTTCTAAGACAGTGGTTCTCAACCTTTGGGGGTCAAACGACCCTTTCACAGGGGTCTCCCGATTCATAACAGTAGCAAAATTACAGTTATGATGTAGCAACGGAGATAATGTTATGGTTGGGGGGGTCACCACAACATGAGGAACTGTATTAAAGGGTCACAGCATTAGGAAGGTTGAGAACCACTGCTCTAAAACTTAAACAGATCTTCACAATTTATAAAGTGTTTTCACATAGCTTCTTATTTACTGGCCACATAGAACATTAATTGATAAAGCTAAGGATATTTGCATTGGTAAAAAGATGGCTTAAGTACAGTTTTATTTCAGAGTTTCAGAAGTGCTATGTAGAAAAGTGTATTTTATGTGACTCAGAGCACAGAATAAAGTTACTAGAGACACACGTTTCCAATGAATTGGGTGAAGCTGTACAGAGCAGATCAGTTTTCCAAACAACAATTCATACAGCATTCTGTCATCTCATTGATTGCAATCCCTACAATGTAACATCCCTTATTCTACTTCCTCCTTGTGTTTCGAGTTTCCATCTTTCCTTCTTTCCTAACCTTTCTGAACTTTGTCCTTGGGTCAATGCTGCCCTTTTGATTTCAAATGGTTGATTCTCCCGAGGAGTGTGTACCTCCCTAGTGTTATTAGATCTTTCTATTATTTGGCTGAAAACGGATTCACGAGGCTGAGTTTATTTTCAGAGCTGAAGGGTGACTAAAGTCCAGAGACTAGGCAGTCCCAGCAAGTCTCTCTCTGACCCTAAGTTTGATCTTTTAAAATGAGTTTTCCTTTTGTTCCCCATCCTTCTCTTGCTCTCGTTAGGACCTTCTTACGCGATCCCTTTGCAGAGCACCTTCTAGTTTTCCTGGTCACTGCTGTCGGGGTCACCCATTTGTGCACTAGGCTAGTTGTTTCCATGTGTCTTCAATTGGCTTCACTCTTCTTTCCCCTGGATAGGGACAGACCAATGGCTGCACCTCAGATGATTTTTGTTTTTTTTTAAACAACTGGTCAGTCAGTTTGTGTTTCAGTGAAGGGCATGCCTCCTGCCTTGACTGCGAGTACTGGTGCAGTGGGTACAGCTGCTCCTTTGGCTGCTCTTGCTTTGTCTTCAGGTTCTCCATGTGATTCTTTGAGCCTGCAGTGAATAGCATGTGCTTTCTTGGGCACCAAATCCAGAGCCTTATGCTTCTTACCCTTAAAGGACTTCCAGAGGCTCTCCCGAGTCTGGGTGATGACGATGAGCACTGTGGCAATGGTTTTGCAGAAGAGCTTGGATGCCTACCACCTGCCACTTTGGCGACATGCAGCTCTGAAAACTGCACCTTCAGATTGTCCAGCTGTCAGCAGCAGTTTCTTCTTGCCTCGAAGGTCCTGTACTTTGATCTTGGCTATGGCTGAGCTTTAGGACCCTGATGTCGCCTGGTTATAGAGGCCGAGAGCAAGGGAAAGACAGTAGGGCTGAACTCCGCCTCTGAGGATCCTTGAAGATTTCTTCCTCTACAAACTGATTTTTGTGTGTATGATTACTTTTTAATTACACAAATAATACATGAATGCATTCTTCTTCAAAATAAGTAAGACAAAATTAGCCTGGCTTGTTCCTTACTCTCCCAGTTATAATTACTGCCAAAAGTTTGATGTCTGTTCTTACAAAACTTTTCCTGTCAGCATAATACATAAGTATATATAGGATCTCTGATGTCATAGTGGTTACACATTAGGTTGCTAACTGCAAGGTCTGTAGTTCGAAAGCACCAATTACTCTGAGGGAGAGAGCCTGGGCTTTCTACTCCTGTGAAGAGTTAGTCTGCGTAACTCA